TTTCATTAATTTTCCTAAATACAATTTCTAAAAGAATCTAATCTGTCAATTAGAAAATTTTGTTTTCTTTGGTTCTTTTTAATAATATTTTTTATCTAAAGAGGTAGAACAATCACCAGAAACAATAAATCATTGTAATATTAGAACAAACCATGGTAACAATAGTTAAAGTTTTTATACTTCATTGTATGGTACGGGCACCATCATTCAGCTTTAATTCTAAAACCAAACCTTAATCATTCTTTGAAGTGCTTTGAGAATACTAGTCTAATTTTCCTTGAGCATTAATATGCTGAAGCAACCTGTTTTACCTTGTAAAGATGTATTATTTTGCAGGCAGCAAAAATGAGGATGATGCAGGAAATAAGACCTTCAATGATATCTCAGCCAAAACTCAGTATATTCCCTTTTTCTCCTTGTAAATAAAATACATACAAAGCTTTGTCTTATTTAAAGCTTTATATTTCCTAGCCACTTTGTCCAACATGTCTCACAAATGTGATACTGCATATGAATATCTTTGTAAAAGCTCTTGTGAATATTCAGATATGTGCACATTGATGCATTTATTATTTGTACAGCAATAAATTTATTGGACTGGGGTCCCAGCTGTGCTTGGAGCTGTACAAACACAACAGTAGTGTCTGTGGAATACATTCTCTGCAGTCAGTATTCACAGTAATGTAAATTAGCATAAACAGCTACATAAGGTAATTGTGAACTGGCTTTAGTGGTTTATTCCAAAGAACCATCAAGGCAATACCTTTACTTTAAAAGAAAATAATACTCCACACTAGCTGAGTATTCGCTCTTTCACCTGGTAATGGCACCTGGTAATGGGTGTTAACATGCAAGAGTGGTAGAGGAAGCATATACAGGAAATAACCAGAACTTGGCCCCTCTCATACTGAAACTTACTTTAAAAAATTCATTTTGAATAAATAAGTCACAAGAACATTAAGTCTTACATTAAATAATAACTTTTTAAACTCATCAATCCAGATAATAAACATTCTAAAAGCAAAAAGCTTTCTTCCCAAGCCTAAAAGGAGAAAATTGCTTACTTAGATCACCAAATAGGAAGTTCGTTTGGTTTCACTTCGTACATTTCACATTTGTACATTTCTACACCCAGTGAAAAAGAAGTGACCAACTCTGACCAACAGTGTGAAGAAAAAAGACTCAAAATAACTATAAACTGTATTAATTAAGATGAAATTCTAAGCTGAAACAAACAAGCATGAACAATCCCACAACAGACTGTTTCACAAAAATGCCTTTTGAGCTAATGAGCAACATCTACTCTAACAGTTCTGGTTTTATGCACAGAAGTAATATTTGCTATGGGAAAGACAGAGTAGTTGATGCCTTGCAACAGCTCCAAAGGTATCTTTAGAAACTTCAGAGTAGTTGTGTTTTCCTGTCCACTTAAGACTCACAGAAATATTCTACAGGACATTAGCATGCCCCATGTGGTGTTTAGAACAGAGGAGTAGTTGACTTCTGGCTATGGTTTTCCTACTTTTTTTCAGATCCTCTTCCCAAGAATGAGTTTGCATCCTCCTCCTCTTGTCTTGGAACACCAACTACTAGGACAAACAATTTCATTTCTGCTACACATTTAATCTTACTCAACCCAACTGAGTGATCTGCAAAGTGGAAATTGCTGTATGACAGCACTGCACTCTACAGAACTTCTACCACATGTACTTGGAACAGAAATGTTCTTCTATAACAGCATAAATCAAAACTTGCTATATAGAAGAAAAAACTTGCTATATAGAAGAAAATTCGAGCCAGAGAAAAGTTTATCACATATAAGAAACATACTACATAATTACAAAGCAAAAGCCAATCAGTGGGATTCTGACAGACAGCATTTAACTGTACACAATTACAGCAAAACAAGAGCTTTTATTCAGGATTTAATTCTGGAAAACAAGAGACTTTGCCAGAAGACACATAATCCAAACCAGCTTCTTTACCCAACCACTTCCCTCTCAGCAGTAGGCCTCATAAATCTTAGTCTCCAGAAGAGGTTGGGTTAACCTCACTAATATTTGGTTTGCTAAAAAATATTTTAATCAGCACCTAAATGGAAGTCTTGGCAGAACTGTCACAATAAAGACACTGTTCCTTTGTCTTCAGCATTTCTCAGGTGATCAACATAAGCTAGGATGGCTAAACCAAGGACTAAAGGGCGACTTGACACATTGCCAGGAGCCCAGAGATTACATCTCCAATTAAGTTGCAGAAAACAATCAGTATGAGGACGCTTCCATAGGAAAAAACCCACTCATATTCCTTCTAGCATATCCCCTCCTTTTCTCATTGCTGCTTTCTCCTTTGGCAGCCTTTATTCGAAGACATTCTATAGGCTCATTTTGCTTCACTTTCAATAAACTCAGCTTCTCTCAAGTAGTACCCAGCTTACCACATCCCTCTAAGGCATTCTATAAGTATTGACACCTTTAAACACTCTGTAAGAATCTTTTATCTTTCATTCCTCTCTGTCTGTGCACCCACAACATCCAGTTATGTCTACAGCAGTACTTTTGCACTTAACCTCAAGTTTTTCTCATACATTGTTCCTGACATCTCTTCAAGTGCCTTTCCTCCTACAGCCTTTGCCAATTTCGTTCACAGCACCATCCTTTCACCCCTCACAGGTATCCCTGAGCTATTATCTTATCAAGGGCCATTATTCTCCTAATGCAAATGAATCTCAAATACATTCAAGAAGACCCATTGACAAGACAAAGGCCCTTGGATGGACAGCACAAATGTACAGGCTAAACCAGTTATGGGTTGAGGTTTTTTCTGCAACGTATTGGATGGGACATCTGCATATGTTTTGACATAAATGGAAAGGGGAGAACACAAATGTAACACTGAAATTGCTGTCCCTCGGTAACTTGGGATAGCAGAAAGACAAATTACAAAATGCCCAGGTAGTTGTTAAGGAGTTGTTATGAAACTTACTAGGGCAAAGAGGCCCTCAAGTTTTCTAGTAAAATACTTAGTTGGAAACTTACATCAGACCTTTTCCCTGCCTTTGCGGGGAACAGTATATTTAATAGTGCAGAATAAATTAACAGCAATACCAAAACCAGCATAGTCCCTGTTCAGGTGTCTGAGATTAGCATTTTCAATGGTATTTTCTAAATTTATATGGAATTAGCCTTCCTTTCACTAACACCTCTATTATCAGTACCGTGTTTTCAAACAAGTACTGGTTCTCAGTACTACTGTTTTGTAAACAAAACCAGCACAAGTACAACAACCATCAAGTGCTGAAGTAAAATATTGCACAATGTAGTAAAACAGGCCTTTCAAATGTTTGCCTGAAACAGCAACCATTCAGCACTCCTGTTTGCTTTCACAGTCAGTGAAATAGCATCTTCATTGACGGAGCATGGAACAGCATTGCATCTAAACACCTGAACAAGAAAAGAAACATTATAAAGCTCGGGCGGCATAAGAGATTTAAAAATATTTCTTTAGATCAGGCTTCGTGTAGAGTACTTTTAAATTTAAGAATGAAGGGCAGTTACACAGTGCATCATCTCACTGTGAATGTTTCGACAAAAACACATGGTCCTTGCATCATTTTCGTCATATACCACAGAACTCTCTTTTAAACTGAAATATCGTGCCCACATGGCACACGCCTTTACCAATTGCTCCTGTTAACGCTGTACGAGGTGCCCCCCATTCAGGGGAGAGGGATCGGGCATTTCCAGCTCGAGCAGAGCCCGCAGCCCGGACAGCCCGGGGCGGTGCTGGGCTCACCCCGGGCCGGGGCTCCCGCCTTCTCAC